TTGGAAAAGATTAATTTCTATCACTGCTGTGAACTGATCACCACACAGAATATGCAGAATATCAAAAACTTTAGGAGTCAGCTGTCCACTGATTAAGATATCAGCACAATAACACACTCAGCAAAATATAATCTAATTATCGTTATCGATAAAATCCCAAAAAATATTTAGATATTTTTTGTCAATATCACACACCCCTAATATATTTAACGTTTTGTTTAGAAAAAAATTTAATAAATATGAGAAGCGCCCTTTTTTCCACTTGAGCCCCTGCCCCTCAAACTGTCTGTGTGCACGTCCCTGAATATGAGAGAAGTTAGTCGTGATAATAACGGCTCATATCAGGTAGCCACGATCAAACTGAGGATTTGCTCATATGAGGAAAGCAATGAAAATGTCTGAACTGGACAGATGATGACAGCTGGCCTTCATGCTTGATAACATAAATCAAGTTGTACTACATTCATACATCAATGTCTGTGAGCGGCACTGATGATCCAGCTTGCCTGTGCGACACAAACACACTCAGCATGTTACCACATCTGTCCTCAGCACATTTCCACATGGCTATTCTTGCACTGGATTCTGATTCCAAGAGGTGCCTAATTTAGCTACTTAGTTTCATCATCAGAACACACTGACAACACATTATTTTGTTTGATAGGAAAAGAAGATTTTCAAATAGAAATAGACTGAGAGGAGGAAACCAACACTTATGGAAATCCCACACCTGCAGCTATTCTACTTGCTGACGTTAGAGCCTCACAAGAAGGTCTGGAGATATCGGGTAACTGCTCGAGCAAACAGATCGGACATAAAGATAAAGTAGAACGGCGTGGTTAATCGATTGCTGAGAGATACCAGTCACTCACTCACCTTCCTGTACAGCCTGGAAGGGGTTGTTGGGCTCGATAAGTTTGATAGAATGGGTAATCCTCTCACTCTGGAGGATGTCGTCGTTCAAACTCAGGTCTGAAATGGCAAGCTGAAAAACCTCGTCATCCCGTATGGCGTTCTGTTCAAAAATAGCTCCTGTTGGATGAAACAGAATGTTCGTTTTTAACACATCATTCAAGTCATTCCAAACTTTCATATCCATTTAAGGGGTAAAAATGAAGGGAACGCAGATTCATCATGTCGGTCAAACTGTTGAAACGATATTATACCCATTGAGGTTACCGAGAACGCAGCGTATAACCATCAGATACAATTTACAGCAACTTCCTCACCTGTCAATAGCCAACGGCATTTCAGGAGCGAGTTCAGCACCATGGAGAGCGCACGTGCTGGAAGTGCTGTAAATATTCTATACGCATCCCTAATTTGTCAAGGGCGTTTTGCAATCTGTGGAAACACAGTGGGTTGTAAGCCTACAGGAAGATCTTTTATGTCAAGGGGATCTTATACGTGACAAGGTGCATCAGTTATAAATATGAGCTGTTTTTATATGTTGCTGGAGTTTGCTGTGTCCTTGAAAGGCATAACAAGTGGACAGGTCATACAAAATATCCAAGACAGATCAATGAAATGGAAAAATTAATGAAGTAAGGGATTATGCTCTTATTGCACAGCTACTTACAAAATAAATAAACAACTGGATATGAAGTATTGATTTGAGAAAAGTTTTTTAATATCTTACTGGTAGATTAGCTTAAAGCTTCCACAAATGAAAACAACCGGCTTAGGAACAAGACATCCACTGATGCAATATTACAATATTAATTTAAAAACTATTCATTTGCAATCCAAATGTTTCGAATTGCAAGATGCTGCCAAAGCTGCACTGATATGAAAAGAGAGAGACCAGAAATGACACGAGAGCGCTGATCTGTTGCCATGGTCAATGGTGAAATTTCCAGTTTAGAGGTCATTATAAAAAAATATTTTACTCTTCTATGCCACAATTGACCTATCAGATTCACGTATTCCAGTGGGCCATGTACTAAGCAGGGTAATTTTTTCATTCAGCTGTTTACGGATTAATCCTAGACATAATACTGCACAGAGCAATTTAAATGTTGACTTCACATGACTGAGTAACCCATAAAGTGCTGTTTCACTAACAAGTCTTTGACACTTGGAAATACAGCCCAGTATTAAATCAGAACGTGTCTGGACGCAATCAATACGGCTGATTTGTGCAGGACTATAAACAGTGACCCACTGATGATATGACGTATTGAGATCAAGGCGACAGTGATAAAATGTACAGAGCAGCCGGCTTGAAGTGCCAAAGGTGTAGGAGAAGCAAATGGGGCTTTATTTATTTACATACACAGCTAGCCATCAACAAACAGCTGCTGAGGCCTCATGCCATGCACTGAGGCAACAAAAGTGCGCTCATTTTCGCCAACACATGCAGGTCAAAGACAAATAAGGATGTTTAAAGTTATAAAAAGGAGAAATCCTTTCAAAATCTAGTCTAAAACGTGTGCAAATTTCTTATACAGCATACAATCTTTGTATTTGTGCTGGATTCATAAATTTACTGTATGAAAAAAAAACATTTACATCATTTTCTACAAAACTAAAGACGAAGAAGAAATGCTAAAATACTTTCCTTGCACTTTAAATATGTCCATGCAAGGTATTTTTTTAACAAATATCCCAACATTTTAAGTCATTAATATCAAGATGATTTCTTTAACTCACTCCACTTTCTTTTCATAGTCTTTTCATAAATTCAAAATAAAATCATAAGTGTCCTCTATGTGTTATGGTTTTCTTTCTTTATTTTGGTTAAACCATGCTGACTTTGTTTGGCAGATAAATGTTTTTCGAATATTTTTTAATACTTTTAAATGTAATGTATTTTTGAATAACATGTAGACAACAAAAATCAGTTCACCTCATGTGACTATACAGAACACAACTAGAAGATTATTATCCACTACCTAAAACCACCTATACCCAGGGAAAAGTTATAATCTACACCAAGGATAAACCATTAAATCAAACCATTTAGACCTAATTAAGTAGTGTAGCAATAAAAGCCTGAGAAGAATTATATACATAGACTAACTGGTAACTAACAAGAAGTCAGAGCATTAGATAACTGCAGTAAATGTTCATTCTCTTGAAGTGCGAATCTGTCTTACAGTAGAGTCTATGCTTCAACTTTGGGACTTAACATCATCCTTCTTTAAAACTAAGCTTCAAATCCAATTTTGAGTGATCCTGCGTACAACATCCACTGCATACAAAAGAGAGGTTCCCTACCAACAGAAGAGCACTAGATTTACAACGCTTTACGCATTAGAATATGGCATGAACCAGTGTTATTTAGCCTAATACGATCACATTTCTGCAAGTAACATATTTATGGGTGTTTTGCGCCTAAACTGGAGTCAGAAAGCAATACAATTTCGTTCCCATCATAAGTAACTAAAGAGGGCTGAATGCTGCATACTGACACAAGGCTGCCAAGCTCACTAACACAAACGACTGATAAAACAAAAGCGTTTGAGATAAATATTATACTATCTAAACTAAGAAGGCATCAGAACAAGTAGAAGTTCTGTTAAGAAACGCCAAGCGGTCACGGGAAGAGACTTGTCACGCGCTCAGTACCTCAATGAACGAAATTAAAATTTCCGTCACGTTCAACAGAAAGTTCAGGCTTAAGGCTGGGGAGGGGTGGACTGGAGTTAACCCTGAAACAGACCGAGAATAGCCGTCTCAATTTGCTTATACGTGTATCTAAAATCATTCGTGAAGCCTACGCGTTCAGCGCCACCTGAAATGCACTTTGTGGACCTGTTTGCTAATGTTTCCTGGCAAGTTAAAGCCGTTATCAAATGTCAAACAGTTCAGGGGAGCGAATACGCCTTCTATGAAGTCCAATCTGCACGCTTCCGACTTTAAAATACGATGCACTGAAGAAAGCCATCCGTGATTCAGCGGCGTCTGTCCGAGACCGTGCTTACCGATGTGGATAATGGAGTCCGCGCGAGCTGAGCGGCACTGCAGGATCCATAAGGAGAGGCTGATCACGAGCAACTCCATCTCCAGTTCTCGCCCCGGTGTATCATCCACGCGTCCACGTCGTTTCAAAAATCCAGTTCCAGAGAGAAAAAGAGCGTGCGCGAGAACGACCGCTGTGGAGGAGATCAAGGATGCGTCACTTCTATCTTTCTCCGAGATCTATTCAAATTGAAAGTGAGAAAGGATATTCGCGGTGAGAAAAAGAAGCTCTCAAGGGAAGGAAAGCAGAAAAGGAGGGGTAGGAGAGCAAGGGAAACGACGGGAGTACCACGGTCAGAGGCAACGCAACGGGTCCGCGCGCTGCAGCTCTCAGTGTGGTTTGGATACTGCTAACTGCAGCGCAGAGAGAGACCCCCCCAACCCCCACCCCTCTCTCTTCCTCACTCACTTTCTCTCAAAGCTCGCAGTCTTTCGCGTTTCGCCCCACCACGTGACCGAAGAATCGAAAGATCGGAACGGTACGGTAAAACCAAGGAGAAATTAAGTCTGCGCTCGCCGGAGAGAGTCGCCACAGCGGAGTGGCGCATGAAGTTCGGGACAATCTCCTCAAACATTCAGTACTAAACTATGTTTTTCAAATGAGAGGCACAAACCCTAGCTGGTTTTAAACTCAGGGCTGCTGGAGGGAAAGAAAAGTTGCTGATACGGACGGTTCAGATTCTCCACAGAAGTTCGCCGCGCTGACAGCGACTCCAGAAGTGAGAAGAGCGACCGCGGGCGCTCCGTTTATCGGTGGATATTTTGCCTGGTACTATCTATAGACCCCGCTAGCACCCTGAAAAAGAAAAGAAACGGAGTCTGTAGCAACCACGGAACGAAGGAAAACAAGTGGGTGCTTGAGACTGAATGACTGTGAATAGTGAATGACTGACTAGCGTCGAATCTATAATATGGCGTAGGTATACGCATTTTTACAATAGGTAAACATTATAAAGATAAGGTGAGTCGTTTGAACGATTGTGGCAGCTCATGGAACGAATTCTTTATCTCCGTTAGGTATTGAAAAAAACGCGTAAATGGGACTCAAGTCAACGTTTCTTGCAGAAATGTTCCTGCATACTTTTCTGACATTTTTCTCTATATAGGATGAAGAATGATAACCTTCACCTTACAATTAAAGGATATTTCTTGAAACGACACTAACAGAAATATCTCTTAATTGTTTGGTGAAGGCTATCAGGTCGTCAGCTCGGATCATTTGGCTGTGGACAGCGCCACAGCGCTCCTCTGGTCAATCGGAAGAAGTGCCTGTCGCGAGGCGTTCTGAGAATTGCTCTGCTTAATAAAATGAGCAGAATGTACTTGGTGCGCTTCGTGCTTTTGTATGCAGTGAATGTATTATAAGGTCATTGACATGTTTTTCTGCAAATGTGTATTTACTTTTCATTCCAGTTTTTCCTCAGGTAAACAAAAATATTTTTTTTAAATACTTTTAATTGAAATCTTAATATTAGATCATTTTGCTTCACTTGAAATACCACATTAGCTAAATGGAACACACTGATGATTAACACAACAAATCTTAATGCAGTAGATCCAGTCTAGTAGAACATTTTCACCCTTTAATCTTCAATGTGCTGAATCCATCATATAAAAATGCAAATAGGATGAATGGAAGTAAAGGAATGGGAACTAAATGAGCTAAGTTTTTAGCATAATATAATAATATAATAAGTTCAATTCATCCCACTTTTTTATAGCCTAACGGATGTAAACATGGCAAATACATGTCATAAACATGGAACTAATGTGATAGAATCACTTACTAACCATATATCCAGTCTTTCAACTACATTGTAATAATGGAGTAGTGGCAGTAAGTAACCTTTGTATGATATCCTCGTAAGCATGCTGAGAAGAGAGGTAGCTTCCTTATTTACATGGAGCTGAGCAGGTAGTCCATCAGATTGCTGCCTTGAATCCGCAGGCCATCAGCTCATTTCCTTTTAGTTGTCTGCACACATTTGTAATATCTGATGATAAAAACAAGAGATGCTATATCTTTACCTGACACCGGGTGGGTGACGACTTCTGTTGATGTATCAGAAACGCACATGGGATTTACATCACTGATGAAATACAAAATGCAACAAATGTGATCGATTGTGCTGAACTTGTTGTATCCAGAACATTCCTTTAACAGCTTTTCAACCCTATGTAGAAAATCACTCCCTCCCATTTTAATCTAATCAGCAGTTAATGCTTGAGCAGGTGGATATGTGGTTGTAATCTGAACCAATGATAATGAAGAGCTACCCTTAGCTGAAGCATGTGCTGAGTACTGAATCTGAATCGGCACTGCTGATAGTTAAAGTGACCCTCCATCCTTAAGCCTGTAGGTTAGATTAGTGTGTTAATCTGCGTTTGGGCTCTGCAGGCTAGATACTCCAGTTGGACTCTGGGTGTTAACATAACAAGAACAGCTCATGTCACAACTTATTTGGTGAATACTAGACCCATGCCGCTGCAGGGACTTCAAAGAGGGGATGGAGAAAAGGGCAAAGAGCAGAGACCAGTCAACAATACACCAAAAATAGGATTTTTATGAATTAGTTTAAATTTCACTTGGTTTCCCTACACAGATTTTGCAACCAGTTGACCACACCATGTTGACGAACAGAAGCTGCTTGTTATGTTAAGTGGGCAGTGCTTCACACAACTGACGCTAGATTAATAAATGATAAAACAACAATTTCAGACCACTCAGCAGCCACATTTGTTTCTTCACCCTCTCTGATGTATGTGAAACCAGGCATACTCTCCTTCAAGCAGTTCAAAATCAACCTGAAGGACATAAGGATCGTTAAGAAGATCAAGTCATGACAATCGGAGAGCATCAAAAAGACAACAACAGTATAAAAACAACTAGACTGGCCTTAGAAGTCTAGATCAACGCCTCAAGATTCAATCCTAATATAAAGGACGTGAGAAAACAAGACGCGAGGATGAAAAGAAACAGAGAATATGGTGGAGATGAGGGGTGTTAAGCTGCTGTCCTACCACTTGTCAGAGATCTCACGAGCTGTGACATGTACATAATTAAAGGCAAACAAAGGGAAGCAGACATGTTTAGTGCCCCCAAGCTCCCCTTCAGCTGTAGCCTCATTAGTGGACTACCATTATGAGCGGATGAAAACATTACAGTCCATATTACCACTACACAAACACACAAGACTCTTAAACAATACAATAAACAGTCACAGGATGCTGGTTACAATTGAATTCAGGTCAGACAGTGGCTAAATTTTAACCTTTAGAGTCCTATTTGGGGCAAAGACATCACATGCGCCAGAGGGAACAGAAAATGTAAACAGTGGAACACAGATTACTGCAGATTACAAAGAACACAACAACAAAATCATCAGATTGCTTAATATAACCTTCTGCAACAATGTGACCACACAAAACCCCAATTAATTCATTGTCTGAACCACTGATTATGTTATTTATATGCTTGACAACATTTGTTCAATTAAGCTCATTATTTTTACCATCTCATCATGCAATCTGTAAAATAACACCACCGTTTTTAGTTTCAGATAGGGCTGGACAATAATTCAATATCAATATGTATCG